CCTGCTTTGTGCGGGACTGCACACACAGGATTTTTATCATTTGTCCCGCGTCCCACAAATTGAGACTGTGTCCCGCATTTGAGTGACAGTCACGCAGAAAGGCCGGCTCGGTTCGCTGACAGCCGGCACCGCCCTTTATTATTATATTTTTTAAACGGCATCATGTAAGTTGCGTTGACAGGCGACAGAGGTCCACAGTTTACCCCCCCCCCCCCGTTGACAGTTCACGAGCGCGTCCATAGTGTCTCTCCCCCCCCCCCGCCCACCAATGGTGAACAGGACAGAAAATGTCTACCATTACTCAGGTTAAGCTTCTCATTTGTGCAGAATAAAATGTTCCTCTCTGGGAAAGGATTGGAGAATACTTCAACTTAAAAAGGGAAGATGGTGGCCACACACTTTCCCTCCATAAAAGGGAAGATGGATAGGGCAATCTTTACCCGAGCCACCTCAGGGGTGAAGCTGCTATTGAGTGCTGGCTGGGCACTATCTTCCCAGTATAGTAACCTTAATCATTAGCAGTGCTACTAAGGAAATGACATATCTAGCTCCATTTAAGCACCCAGAAAGGTGTTTGATCCTTACCTCTGGACCGTATGTTTTAAATACTCCTTCGTAAACTGCTCCATTTTTGACTTTCAGCTCACACTTGGTGCCCTGTAATAAATAGGCCTGGCATTATTCACTGTATGCGAAACACATTTATGTTTGTGCCAATGTCAATTTACACATTCAAAAACAAGTTGAGAAACCCATCTGCTGTGAGAAGACAAATGATTGATCAATCTCTGCTGTGTTTATGCAACCAGCTGTCTCTACAGTTTGCACAGGCTTTGTTTATAGCAACGTAGACATTTTAAGGAAAGAGCATGTGGGGAAATACAGTATGCAGTACATAATGCTGTTACAAATGTATTTACAGTAGGCACAATATGGTTCAAACATTGTGTCTTTTGAAAAAAGACATGCTAGACATGACTGGAACATCATCTAAGAAAACTTAACATGACAGATACAAAGCAAACATACCACCACTGAAGTCAAGACATGGACCATCCTCATGTTTGCATATACACCATTGAAAATGACCTAAAGGAAAAACAGTTAATTTTTGTTGTTCCCTATTTCTAAAGAAAATTGTGCAAGATAGGCATATGTCACTTTTTTCCAATTCAATATGCGTAACAATAAACATATATCCTACCACTGAATTCATGCATTCTCTCAGGACTTGTATGTGCCATGTTTAAACTAAATTGCCTTAAATAGAAAACTGACACTGTATTCATGTGGCAGCTTTGTTCCACTGATTTATGAGTTAACCAGTTACTTACCGCTGCAGGGCCTTTACCACTGTGTCTTCCCCTGAAAGAAAAATGCCATTGTTGTCAAACTATTATCACTGAAGTTCCTGCATTCATACTAAAACAAAGCACTCTTTAATGGGAACAACTGTAGACTGAATTGTAGAAATATTAAGAGGTGGAGGTGTGCATCTTAAGATGATACAAAGCCCAAGAATCATAATCAATGCATTATCTTGTTTAATCTACATGTAAATGTCTTGACAATGTACATTTATTGTTAGATAGAAAAATGCATTACATAGATAATGCTATGCAGAATCTGAAATTACCCACAGATTCCAGGATATGTTCCTGGTTGGAATAATGTTCAATGGGCCTTCAGCCAAACACTCTGTAGCCTACATTTTTCCCAAGCATGTCCTAAAATGCACCTTGTTCAGCAGCTGGCACATGGCCAGGCTTTTACACTCGATTCGATAGGTAATGGCACCTCTCTTTACATGATATCCACTGGCCAATATGCTCACTTGAACACAGTCAGCTCCTCAATAATAAAAATTAAACCAGTCTAATTGAAATATGCTGATTTTGTATGCATGAGTCCAGCTGTTCTTATCGTATTCCACACCATCTTTGCACGGCCTTAATGGATGAAGATCTACACAATGAATGGGACGAACTGTCCTAGTGACCGGTGGATAGAAGCCGGACCAAATAAACCCCAGAAATAAAAGGTACGCAAGCAGCTTCTGCAATGACCGTTTGTGTTAGCTTAATCTTAGGACGGCATGTCATGTACAGAAATGTCATGCTTCAAGGACATTATTTCAGAGGAGCCGCTACAGCAACGTCAAGGTTGAAAGCCCGTCGGTCTATAATTCCCCCTTCTCCTCCTCACCCGCCCCCTTTCTCTCGTGCACCCACACGTTTTTATCAATTTCTTGGCAAACCCATTGCAGCAATGTTGCGGTTACGTACCAACATAGATTACAGTAAACTGACAACAAACACAGCTGTTTCATCGCAGTCTTTTTCGTTGCAAAATTCCCTGGGCTGTCCCCTTAGCTAGCCGCTGTAATACTGAATGAGGCAAGTGCGCTGAATTACAAGCATGGGCTGTCAAACGGCTAATTAACGCAAGCTAAATGGACTCCAAGCTCATCGCAAACTGATATCAGCCACTTGGCAAGCAACATCACTGCTACACACATGGAGGAAAATGTGTCTCCACTGAAACATGCTTAAACATTTAATCAGAGATGTGTTATCCACCGTGCAAGAGGAGGTAACGTTACGTCGAAGTTGCAACATTATTGGGGCAAGCTGGCAGGCCTCGCTAGCTAAACTGCATAACGTTAGGTGACCAACACGTCGCAAGGCCCACATAACGTTCAGAAACGCGTACAAGTTTTGGAACAATTAACGGGGATGTCATCTCTCAAAACTGGCCCTGTTGCAAGTGACTGTATCCAAGTATTAATACATAGCCTCATTAGCCCCTGCTGCTGTGTTTTTATTTAGCTTAGTTCACGTTTTTATTTCACAGACCTGCCCAGATTCTGTCTTCCCCCTCCGCTTCCTCCGGCACCGGCTCCAGCCGTGTTGCCACCGCCGGGCTTGCTGCGATTTCCACCGGCCTTCATTGACATGGTGATCCCATAAAAGACAGCGTCTGAAAACGACCAATTAACACCGCAATTCCTTGACGATAGGGCGATGTGTGATGTGTGACAGCTCGCTAACGTTAGCAATCCTAAAATGTGTCTAGCTGGTACCAGGGTAATGTCAACGTGCCTCTTGAGGAAGATGCTATGCTAAGACACTAGCTGGCTAACAGTTGCTATCTATATTAGCAATCTGTACAATTACTGTTAAAAACGGGGGAAAAAAATATTTTAAAAAGACAACAAGTGACAATCACTCTCGCAAAATAAAAACGAGTGTTAGATCTCTTGTCAATTCGTTGTGTGATCCTAACAGAAAAATACGTTATTCTCAAATCGGGTTTACAGCTATCTCAGGTTCTTGCCGTTGCTAACAGCGAAAATACCAAAACAGTCTGAAAGGGGACAAAAAACAGCGGAGGGATATATGATAGGCGTAACGGCTGAAACATATAATCACATATTCCTACACTGTTTCTTTGACGACAATCGATCCGCTAAAAATAAAAGACAAAGGTAGTCACATTCAATCTAAACCGCCACACAAAACAAATAGATCCTCGTTTGTTTTGCCAAAAATCCACATAAAACATGGCACTATTTTCAGGAAGTCCCGGAATTCTCGACGGCTGTTTTGAGGCATCCACGTGAGCCGGCAAACACACTGCACACAGCCGCTCTCACATAGAAACACACTATCTACACGCTGCTTGTATATGGAAATTAAAGGGCAGTCCGTTTCACACGTTTGACATATAATGTGGGAATAAGAGTTCATTACAATAAATAGGTGTTCTATATTATGAATCTTCTCATTGTAGGCTATATTGAAATGTTTAATACAAATGGTCAAAATAACATAACGCAACTCAAACATGAAATTAAACTGTACTTTGAAACACTAAAAGTAACCTACTGAAAAATCAGAAAGCCACCATGACTATAATCTATGACTACTTTTAATGTAGATATGTCCCCTTTTTCCTCTTCTTGTTTTTTCTTTGCAATTCCTATACATTGCATATAATTTAAACACACTATTTATGTCCAATACTGATGTAATTATTGTTTTTAAATGATATTATTTTTCATTTTCCTTTTTCAAATGTTTAGGTTCAAGACTTAATGACATTTTCAGTGAATGTCATGATCTCATACAGTTTATTGCTTTTAGCATACTTGAACCCATTTAAGCTATAGGCTACACTTTATGAGATGTTCACAAGTCAGATGTGTTTTATTTATTGTTATTAACTACATCACTTGCATTATACCAGTATAGTTTGTTTTCTGCTCAGAACTTTAACTTCGGCATATTTGTAGCTATAAAACCATAGACCTAAAGTGAGTCTTTATAGGTATTGATTAGTTCAGATGGCATTTCAATAGAATTAATTATTGGGCACACATGTATCACCCTACTTTAATAAAATGTATAAGTAAGTAAGCAGGAACAACTCTTCGTATTAGACAAGAATATCCACTTTGTTATGAAGATTTAAATAAGAAATCATATTTAATATGATTTGATAACTGTTTTGAAAACGATAACAACTGATAGAGATATATTTTTTGCAGGCACGGGTCCCCCATCCTGTATTCCCCACCACTTGTAATCAATGGTTGTAACTTCTTCAAAAGTGAAATACTAAATACAGTTATTTTAGGACGCTTCCAATCAGATTTATTTCCTGTCCTTTAATAGAAATACAATTTATTTGGAATTCACTGAGTCCACCATTAATAATTAAATAGGTACAAACCAAATTGATTGTCTCACTGTTTGTGCAAAAAGCACATTATAAATAAAGTTTTCTTTTTTTTAAGAAACCGGGGACCTTAAACGGACCCATCAGTTTGGCAATTTCCAATGAAATGTTTTTAACAACGATTAGAAGATTTTAATTTGAAAATGTAACGACCAATATATATAATACGCTGTCAAAAATACATATGTATCGAGAGAAATACTAAGGTAATTGATGTACTGTCCAATATTACAAAAGCGTGTCGATGATTTTGATCAGGCGTTCAGCTCGGGACCCTGGTTGTGTATTCCCTCTGACAAGCAGCTATGGGATTAGCAAAATAGTCCAGAGATGTGTGTTGTCTCCTTGGTCACCTCTGAAACACATTGCACATTTAAATATTTGTTATTGTGACGTACCAGTGCTGATTTTTAGTACACCGCCCAACGGAAGTATGTTAATTTTGGGTAAATCTGGAAAACGAACTTGCCACCTCAGCTAACTCTGAGCTAGCTCATTAGCAGGCTCGGCTCGACGACATAATAGGCTGCTGTGTCTCTGGGAACACCGTGTGCTCGTCGTGTCAGATAAACCCAGCTAATCGAGGAGATTTTCTGACAATATCGTCGGTTTACTTAATATTTCACGATTGCCATTGTTGTGTAATCATCGGCCCAGGACGCGAGATGGATTGTCACTAGCTTACTTCGCCAGACCCGGTGTCTTCTCAGCGTTAGCGGAGCACTGCTCTCATAGCGCTGGCTAAAAATACACCTCTTGTGCGCCTCCAAAGGTGGTGGGCTAGTCACACTGGACTTGTCTTCCTCTTTTCTGGTCACCTTGTTCAGTGTTTGGCCCTCTACATGGTCACCGCAGTGAGTTTAAGACGACTGGAAGAACTAGCCGGACCCCGAGGTAGTGAACCCCGCCGGCCTGATCTAACGCCGCCTCGTACCGGCTGGTGGGCTTCAGGTCCACGGGTGACGAAACTGGGATTTTGCGGATCGGTGGCCGAACATCATTTTGCCCCAATGGCACTGTCGTGTAATTTAGTGGTAATATAACAAACCTTGGAACTTTGTGAAGGTCAGAGAAAAACGCTTTTGTGTCTGTCGGAGATCCATCTGTCCGCAGCACAGCAGCACCATGTCGGAGGATAACAATGCAGACAAGTTAATCAAGGTAAAAAAAATCACTAATTGAAATGTGGATCTTTATTCAAGTAGACAATGCATCATTCCCTCTGTAATGTAAGAATAATTATGTTTGGTCTTGCTTTAATGAAGTTTGGAGTGTAAACAAATGACATGTTTTAAACACTTATTACTATTCAGGTACATTGGAACGTGTAGTCGTGTAACATTTTAACTGATCTCAGTTAAAACTAGTTAACAATGAGATCCTTTACTGCATTACATAAGACAGTAAACCAAATAAAACCAGACAATCAACGACCAATAGAGGAAAGATAAATGGAAACACCTACACTGACAAGGAGAAGTCTTAAAAGTTGAGTTGACAAGATTGCTGAATATTGATGGTGGAAATTGTATTATCTTTTAAAGATAATGTCTAAACTATTGCAGAGTGACAGTTAGACGCTGATATCACTTGCTTCATTTACTTTATACTCCGGTCTGGGTCTAAAACAACATGTTTGTCAGTGTTTCTTCAGTTAACATGATCTTAGTGCTTATCCCTCTAAAATTATTCAAATGAAGACTGCACTAAGAAGTACACTTAGATATTGCTGTATCAGGATCTCATATATTGATATCCCTTCTTGACCGCACAATGGTTTTTCTGTGGGTTACACATAATAGAAATGCAAAATAAACAATCTGTTGATGGAAAGCTTTATGGATAATAATCATTACTGTGGAGTTCAGTTTTGACTGTCATAACTATGATATTTCTGTCTTACTCTTTGATTTATCAGGAATATTTCCAGGAGTTCTAGCTAAGACAGCACGGCAGCATTCATGTTTCACATAAATGAACAAACAACATGCATAACACCAGCAAAAAAAGTTTTAACAAGCCATATTAAAACAATTCACATGACTGAACAAGCGACAGACAAAGAGCAAACATCGAGTCATATTATGAACCAATGCATCATTACTTTTCTGTACTGGTCAAATTGTAGTTAATCCTCTTTTTCTTGTTAATCTAGGTTAAGGTGACTCTGTAGCTCACATCGGGATGAGGATGCAATACTTTTAAAGCACAATCATCCAAGACCGTTTTGGGAACTGACATGCCTAATTGGTCCGTGTGACTAAAGGTTGCAGCTACTGATCGTTTTGGAGTCAGCAGAGAATATAAATAAGGAGGCAGTTTGTGTCATATGGCATTATGGAGACATATCTACCATTGTTTTAATCTTCGGTTGAATAACACAAACCACCTTTCTCATACAAACTCATTGCTGTGTGCAGAAATCTGAATCTTAGACTAATTGAAATGCAGCTAATCTGCTACACTGAATCTTACATTTCTATCACCTTGGCTCAAGGATTTGTTCCTGGCTTGCTCCACTCAATATGTCACTGCCCAGGCATTTATGCCTGCAGTAAAATGTGATCTCAAGTGCCCCTGGCCCCCTGCTTTCACAGTTCAGTCAGAGTTGACTGGAGGGCCGCTACTGAGAACTTAAACACACACTGAGGTCCTTATAATGCTGAAAGATTCATGGGTTAGCTAGTTAGTTTTGGATTTACCCAGCTCCGCTTTATCAAGACCCTGGCATACTCTAAATCAGGGGTTCCCAACCCCCGGACCGGTACCGGGCCGCGGAGGTGTTACTGTCGGGCCGCGAAATAGCTGTGAGTTTATCGTAATATTTGCAGAATTATAAATATATACAAATATTTTATCGTAATATTTTTTTCAAAAAGTGTTTAATTTTTGCACCTATACCAGTCATATTATTTCATCCAGTAGCCTGGTTAAACTTTCACTAGAAAACTGTTAAAAATGCCATGGCTTTTATGATGTTCCGAGGGATTCGGCGGCTCAGCCTGGTCTCAGCCTCTTGTGCGCACGAGAAAGTTACCGGTGCGCCAAGTAGGAAGAGGAGCGCACAGGAGACAACCGTTTCATTGCAGACTGTTATGTTTATGTGGGGAAATGGCGGTGCATACATTATTTGAGATATATTTCAAACTCGGACTTCATTTTAAGGAAATGTCGGCCAGGGGTGTAGAGCTATTTGTTTAAGCACCGAATTGGCAAAACAGGAGAGTAAACCAGTCTGCCTTGATCTATGAATTCATGACTCTCACGGTATCTGCTGCCCGCAGCTGTTTTATAGAAGGAAAACCTCCTTCACTTCATGAAATGGCTGCAGCATCAGGAGGCAGCGGGACGTGTAACTCTGCTTCTGAGAAGTGCAGCACCAGCGCGCCGAGAGCTGTGCCTTTTTACGCACCGCCTTCGCTGTTTTTACCTTCATCAGAACAGCGAGTGACTGCAGGCTGATACGTGTTAACCACACACACCTCTACACACATCGAACTGCCCGATGACTCCCCCTTTTATTAGTTTTATGAAGGAGATGTCTAGTCACCAAGGCGCATGATGTGTGTGTGCAGCTCTGCTCAGCTCTGTGTTTGTGTCTGTCCGACACCGGCATTTGTTTTCAAATGACCATGAACAGTAATTTACACACATCTGGCTAACTCCATAGGTAGCCTATATGCGGGTGTTCCCAAAATAAATTAGTTTAATCTTAATCTCGAGGTAGTGCTAAATGCTGTCGGACGTGCACCGGAACGAACGTTACTATCATAATATCTTCTGAAAACAAATGCCAGTCACACACACACACACACACACACACACACACACACACACACACACAGACACAGACACAGACACAGACACAGACACAGACACAGACACAGACACAGACACAGACACAGACACAGACACACACACACACACACACCTCCTTCATAATGCGCCTTCACCTCGTTTTCCCATCACTGGATTATCCGTAAATCATACAAACAAAACCAAAACGTTGATTTACCTGTTTTCCCGTTTTGGTTTAAAAACTGAATAACGTCGGTTTTCCGTTTTTCCGAAAAACCAAAAAACGACACCGGTTCTTTTTTAAACGTTGTTAATATGTTTTGGATGCATATTGTTCTATTATTTGTTCAGGCTGTTACATACAATTAGCCTCTGTTGCTACCTGCTGGTGAGTAAATATTAAAATCAGTTAAAATTGACAACCGGTCCGCGATTTATTTTTGTATGTATCTGCCGGTCCTTGGCACAATAAAGGTTGGGAACCCCTGCTCTAAATGATTCTTTTTAAATAGCATCAAGATTTGTTAGATCCCATATCCAGGGCCACTAATGTTAGGCATAGTGAAGTCAGATGCTTCAAAGATATGAAGTTTATGGTAAAGACCCTGGGTAGCTGAGGTGTTCCTCATCCTGAATTATCATCATCATCAGGGTTTACACATACCTGGTTGGACTGGGCAGGGCAGTGATGGGGGGGGGGGATGATGGTGCCTGTTGGCAGGGCCACAGGATTAACTGCACCGTCTGGCCAAGACCAATATATTCTCAGGAAAGGAGGAAGAACGAAAGATGGTTCATTTAAATGAATTTACCTAAATACAGCACAAAGTTCAACATATTTACAAGCAAACAGTGAAACTAGATAGAATGTAGAATATATGTCTGAAACATGTTGTTTAGAAATATTTTGATACTTTTTTCGTTATGCTAAAGTTTCAATTGAAAGTCTAGGTACTGACAATGGTTAGGAATGGTCCTTCTAGTATAATCTTTTTTCTTTTTCTTCTCACTGAAAGTATCTTTGAAAAGCAAATCATACTGTCCAACTCTGCTGCAGACTTTGTTTCTTTTTACTTTCAAATATCTGATATACTGTTTGGTTGTGGTTTCTCCTCCCGACAGGACACATCCATTCTAGACGAGTACAGCATCAACTGGACACAGAAGTTGGGAGCGGGCATCAGTGGACCGGTCAGGTGAGAGTGAGACGGAGTGTGTCAAGAAGTACCTTCTGGAAGGTCTTTCTCTAGTCTGATATTTTCTTCAGTGTTTTTGATGCATAAGGTCAAAATGCTACTGCTGTGGACGCGTTTTAGAGCTGCAAATATGTGTCGACCAATCAAAAATGATCATTATGATAATTTTTTGTTGAAGTAATTGCTCATTCCAAAAACAATGCTGTTTTCAGCCTCGCAATATATATCGCTATTTTATATCATCTTACATTTACAATCTGGATTTTGAGTTTTCTAAATTTAGGATTTTGAGCAACTGGGGTGAACTTTTCTTGTTTTGAATTCTTTCTGGAGAAATAGTGCAGCAGAAACACATTATTAAATGGCATTTCAAAACAGTCATTAAAAAGCAAAGAGAATCAAATAAAAATAAAACAAGCCAATATATATGAAATACAAGAGCATTAATAAATAATTTGCTCCCACACGTTCGGCTTGCTATTCTTGGACTCAATCTTAAGAGAAAACAGTTATTCGTAAAGATAATGTGAAAATAATTATTAGTTGCAGCAATACTGTGTTGCCAAACTCAGAACTATGTTTTTATTAAACCAACACTTGGACAAGTATCTGGTATCTGTTTGTCATCTGAAAATCACCCATTTTCTTGGTTGTTGTCAATGGGAATGAGTTCAACTTCCACTGCTTGGAATTCCAGATAAACTACTTGGAAATCTGATATTCAGGGCAAAGCCCAGCTGTGAGAGGAGAGCCAACATCAAATTGAAATTACTTTGTAGTTTGGTTTGATCTAAAAGTAGTATACCACCATGACTCAGAATATTATTAAATTCCACGATAGAATTTATGAGAGCGATAACTATTGATATATATTTTGTTGTAGATTACACTTTTGGTCATCCCAACTGCAGCGTTTAGGTTTAATGTCAGAGCAAATGTAGATGATTTGCTAACTGAGCTGTCAAATGGACGCACGTTGGAACTGCTGCCAAACCCCCTCGCTACATGTTACTCCTGTGGTTTTATATTGCAGCGTGTTAACCAGCACAGTTTAACTTTTATCCTTGACACATTAACACATATTGGGATATGAAAAGGCCAGATGCTTGTCACTTGACGGGTCTTCAACAGACAGGACCAACCACGGATGTGTTTTGTCACAGTCGCAAACCTGAGGCCGAATATTGAGATGTTTGGCACCAGTACACGTTGGTACTAGTTTATGGGGGCTGATATGGTTCTGGCAGAATCCATACAACTGCAACATCCATGGCTTAATTCCAACCTTAAACCTTATCCCTGACAACTATGTTTACCTGTTTTTGACAGTGCTCTTGTGTAAATGAATACATGATAAGTGTTTTTGTGTCACTTTACTTGTTATGTTTGGTTTAACTCGCATAATAATAGACTTTTCATCATTATTAAGCTGCACTCGGATTAAAGATATCATTATTGTTGGTGCATGAGGGTTTAATGGTGAAACTCAGCAGTTTTCTTTATCTCCTCTCTGCATTTTCCCCTCAATCTTCTCCACCCTAACTCACGTTGCTGAAATATTTACAATAAGCAGCAATGACTTTTAACTATTTTTACACTAAACCCACCAAGAATGTACTTTTCATGTAGTGGTGGTGAATCTAAAGCACAAATGGCCGGAAAATGCTAGTTTGCACTATATGTGTTTCTCTAAAGGCTGTAATCTCTTCATAGAAATGTTTGTCTTTAGATGAATTCAGTTACAGAGAGGCAGTTGCAGCTTTAAACGCCTTCTGAGTTTTTTTCTCTCCCTGCCATGATGAAATCCAGCTAGTTGCAGGCTGTAATACTTTATATCAATGACGAGCATAGTGAGAAGGTGACTCAATAGCCCTACATGTAAACACTCTCTTAAGATTCATGCTGTACTCGGAACAAACCTTACTAAATCTGTCTGCAGCTTTCCTAACTCTCACTCTGATTCACAGAGATCTTATCTCATATACATCGTTTTTGATTCTCTTGCTCATCTCTTTGTGTTTCACAATACATTCAATTATTTTACTGTACTGGCCGCCCTCACTCAGTCTCTGTGACTCATTAGGTAGGTATTGCTTTCCACTTTCAGTGAAGTGAACTTTGGCCGAAGCAGAATGTTTCTCACAGTAATGCTTTAATAGTGTAATCTGAGTTTAAGGGCCTGTTTAAAGACTATTTGAGTCTTTTCTGCTCAGTGGAAAAGGGAAAGGAGTTTTCAGATAATTAAATGTTTATTAATTTGGTCCATGTATATTTATATAAAATGTATATATACAAATATGAGAGATGGCTTTATTTGGTTTGACTCATCTCAAAGATGCAGACATTATTCTATGTGCCATAACAAACTGAGATGTTGACAAAATACTGTTGCTAACTCTGTGTAGCCAGCTGCTTCTTTTTTTTTATCTCTGTCAGGTCAACTTTGACTTTACAGCACATAGTACTTTAGCACCTGTAAAACAATAATCAGATGGAAAGCAACCCCTACATAAGCACAACAAACTCATGTTGTGCAGCCGTTTGATTTTGACCGTTAGAAACTTTAATATTTAGAGATCAGTTGGTCTCACAAGATATTAAGCAGGACATTTCACGGTGGAACGATTATCAGTGCTCTCAGGTAGACAAATTAGGTGCTGGTAGTGGCAACTGTATCTGAATTAATTCATTTGACCTCAACCGACATATAAACAATATAACTGAAATAAGCTAATATCGGACAGTATAGCTGTAGTTCATACCAAACATATGCTACTGAATTTGTTGGTATTTGTTAAGAACTGATTTTCTATAAAGACACATAGTGATTACATTTGACACAGATTAAGCCCGACATCAATGACCATTAACAGAAACAACAGAAAACAGGAAAAGCCCTGCATGACCTCAGAAACTGCCTTATTGATTCTCTGTTTACATGATCACATCTGTGACACAGAGGGGGTGATATTGACTGAGATATTTGTCGACTCTTGTTTGCTTCCTGTTCAGAGTTTGTGTGAAGAAGTCATCTCAGGAACGCCTGGCCCTGAAGATCCTCATTGATCGCCCTAAAGCCAGGAATGAGGTTAGAGAAAAACACTGTTGCGAATTTTGATTAATGCCTGTTGTATATTTTCTCTGGCAGTATCAATATTCTTTGTTCTGTCTGCCTACCTGTTATCAACCTTTTTCAATTCCTGTTTTTATTTCCTAATCAATCTGCCTCCTCCTGTGCCTCCTTTGTCTGTTTTCATGGGAATCGTTGTCAGTAACATTGCGTGCGGTGTATCTAGCAGCCTCTCCATGTCAGGCAGCGAGACATGCAGTCAAAACAAGCACAGACGAGCCTCACACAAGCTGTCGCTGCCAAACTGTGAAAGCTGTCACTGTCAAGCAAATACTCACAGATTATAAACTGTGTATTATTCAGGCCCTATAATCATTTTTCTAAATGGGGGTGTATCTGGGGAAACTGCTACAATAACAATGAGTGCATGCTCTTTTCTTTAAAGGTTACAGTGTCTAGGTTAGGAATGTAATGGCTGCTGAATAGTGCACACGGGAGGCCTTTAAGTTACATTTTATGTCATTCCTTGAATGCATCTCTCGTGGCAAAGATACAGTTATATTTGAATCATTACAGTTGTTTACAAAAGGTGCACCTGCGTTGTACATATACACATTCCTGTGTATTCCCAGGACTGAAGCTGCTGCTCTGCTACATGCTGTTTCGGTACAACGTTACTCAGGCTGTGTAGATATTGTGTCAGGGTTTGTTGATGTAACACATTTAAACGGTGACACTAGACACATATTTAAGCTGTTTTTTCTCTAAATAATGACTGAGATACTTTTAATATGTAACAAATCAATGAGCTGTACTTTCAATTAAAGCAGAATTGACTTTGCCACCCACCATATATATTGAACTGAGGATATAAAATGTCATGTGTCTATAATGTAATAATAGACACAGTAGGAAAAAGCTGCACATGTTATTGCTCAGCCCCATTTCCTTTCTAATCAAAATGTGTATCAGTTGATCAGCAAGCGTGATAAGGTTGGTACTTATAATTAGGGATGCACCGAATATTCGGCCACCGAAAATTATCGGCCGAAAATGGTTAAAAAGGCCCTTTCGGCCGAAAGGGTTTTAGCACCGAAAAAATATCACCGAATGTCAGAACAGGCTTACGTTGGTAACCTAACGTGTTGTTGTGATGACGTAATAAAGACGCGGCGACCATGCTCGCGGCTGGCTCACAGGGGGGGGGGGGGAACATTGACCTTTGTCATCGAGATTGCCCTGAGCCTTTAACAAATCGTATTAAATAATCTGATGACAGACTGTAAACAGAATAGCTGAAATTTTAACAAACTAAATAACTCAGTTACCTCTAATCATTAACCCATGTTTGTATCATGTAGTTAACTCCGTGTGTTGCTGCTAGCATACATAACACCTGACGTGGAAACGTTACTCGTGGATGGGGCTACAGAGCTGCTAGAAAGACGGTCGAACCCGGTACATTCCTCCGTCTGCATGCGGTGCACTTTTGCTAAATGTTTAGACAAATTGCTCGTGCTTACATGCTAAACTCTTATTGCACTTATGGTAACAAGTATTCTCCACATCGAGACGGGTAAAGTTTAACCACACCTCGGAGCGCGTTCTCTCCGCCATCTCCGCAGTGTGCTCCGCTGCATGTAGCAGCTGCGTGTGTGTAAACTGCCCCGCCCCCTCGCACACAGACGGGGGAGAGAGATCTCGTCTGATCGAAAATACATCATAGACGCATTTGTTGTCTTTGCATATTAGAAACGAGTTGGCGACACTAAGACTGCGATATAATGTTTTTTAGCAATAATACATGACATATATAAATGTACTGTATGCATTCAAAAGTGCTGAATAAATGTTTTATGGACCCATAATAGTGATTATTATTTAAGTTAAGTTTTGCCATAATCATGTCTATTTCCATAATCAGGTAGCTGAACAACATTGGTAAAAAATGTATACATTATATATATATATTTCTATTAATCATTTTCGGCCTTTCGGCATTCGGTTTTCGGCCAACTGTTTCCTATTTTCGGTATCGGTTTCGGCCAAGAATTTCCCATTCGGTGCACCCCTACTTATAATGCAGTTATCTCTACTGAGGCGGACCATGTGAGGTGTCATGATTGCTGTAGTTTTAACACAATTATCACGTCCTGTGTTCCCACACTCAACACCTTCCAAAATCATTAGGACAGAGTGGTTTCATCAAGGAAAGGATGCTTTAGTGTTGTAGTTATTTCTCATGGGTTTCTTGATAAAACTCCTATATATTTAAGTTAAATATATTTTACAGGGTGTCTGATTCTCTTCCATGCAGGTGCGTCTCCATATGATGTGTGCACACCACCCAAACATAGTGCAAATCCTGGAGGTTTACGCCAACAGTGTCCAGTTCCCACACGAGTCCAGCCCAAGGTGTGAATGTGTGGAATCAATCATTATTTGTATTAAGTGTACGGAAATCCTTTTCCTCTGACACATCCACACGTCCTCTTCATCTTTACAGAGCGAGGCTCCTAATTGTTATGGAGATGATGGAGGGAGGCGAGCTTTTCCACAGAATCAGTCAGCACAGGCACTTTACCGAAAAGATGGCCAGCCAGGTCACTAAACAGGTAAGTGAGCTCACCCTCTCTCTCTCTCTCTCTCTCACTCACTCACTCACTCACTCACTCACTCACTCACTCACTCACTCACTCACTCACTCTGTTGTTTTTTTCCCTCGATGTGATTTCTAAATGTCTAGTTTTTTCCTGTCAGTCAGTCTTGGTCCACTAGTGACTGTCTTTGTGTGAAACACCTTTCCTCTGTGTGTAACCGCCTCCCCGTGTCATTAGCAGCCCCCCCTCTGCTGCACATGAGGCAGTTGAACACTGAGACTCGTGGTCAAAAGAAGCAACACACTCCGACTCACATCCAGTGTGTCTGAAGGTTGCTTTGACACACTCACACACACACATAGAGTGGTGTCTCAGTCTGATGTCTCTTCCCCCTATAGATCAGTCAAGCCTTGGAACATTGTCACTCCCTAAATATTGCACATCGTGACCTGAAGCCAGAGAACCTGCTTTTTAAGGATAACTCTCTGGTAAGTAGATGAAGTTGCAAACATATATATGGCAATTTTCAAATGTACCCCGACAGATGCCACGACTGAGTCTGCTGCTACAAATGAGAATACACTTTGTGGGACTGTAAGGCTGCAGCTTTACTTTTTGAGAAACTGTAACAAAGAAAATATACTGTGTGCATTTAGCAGAAAACGGCAAAGATAACTTGTAAACCTGCATCTTCAGTCCTAGACTTGACCTTTATCTAGCAGCAGCTAGAATGTATTTATAAAAATAATATTTTTTTTAAAAGTAATAATTGTTTCTGTCCGCTCCTCAGGATGCACCTGTGAAGTTGTGTGACTTTGGCTTTGCCAAAATTGATCAAGGGGACTTGATGACCCCTCAGTTCACTCCCTACTATGTAGCACCTCAGGTAAAAAGTGAACGTAGAATTCGTACAACGAAAGTTGTTAAATGTAAACATACATATATTTAAAACATCTTAAATGTAGTAATAATGAAAGCTGATGTCAACAATGTCCCCTTCTGCTGTCATTACTGTTCAGGTACTTGAGGCTCAAAGAAGACACCAGAAAGAAAAGTCTGGAATTATACCTACCTCACCCACTCCTTATACCTATAACAAGGTGAGAAGAAAATGTGTTGTAATAAACATTTTGTCCAACTGTGGCGAGTATTTTTTTACTACTAGTAAAAAAACAACAAAACCCAAAATATTTTTTGACAAACTTTCTTTTCCTATGGTTCTTCAGAGCTGTGACTTGTGGTCTCTCGGAGTGATCATCTACGTGATGCTCTGCGGCTATCCTCCCTTCTACTCCAAGCACCACAGTCGCACCATCCCAAAGGACATGAGGAAGAAGATCATGACGGGAAGCTTCGACTTCCCTGAAGATGAGTGGAGCCAGATCTCTGAGATGGCCAAGGACATTGTCCGCAAGTAAGTCGTTTTTTTCTCCCTGCTATTATCTGGGAATTCATCTTGTTGTCCCAGAACATGGCATTTCCACCTTTCCCACTTTACCATCCCTCATTCAACTTTCGTCTGGTCATTAATGTGTACTCCCTCCTGCCCCCTGCAGGCTGCTGAAGGTGAAGCCAGAGGAGAGGCTCACTATTGAGGGTGTCTTGGATCACCCTTGGCTTAACTGCACGGAGGCTCTGGACAACGTGCTGCCCTCAGCGCAGATGATGATGGACAAGGTCAGTGGGAAGTGCAAAATCTTGCATTGCACAAATGCTATGCTTCTGTTCCTGTTACAAGTGACCAGTGTTGGGACTAACGCGTTACTGTAACGCAACTACCTTTTGCGGTAACTAATAACGTTACTAGTTACCTATTCTCATTCAGTAACGCCGTTATAGTTACTGTGATTTAAATGGGTGCGTTACTGCGAGTACACATGCTGCAGAGCAACTATTTCAAGTATACTACGTCATAGAGTTGCGCAGAATGCTGGGCATTTAACATGCATTTAAACAGTCCTTCGGCGCCACTCGATGACGTAGTATACTTGAAATAGTTGCTCTGCAGCAGTTTTACTCGCGATTGAGAAACGGCCCGAATCTCCCTGCGGATGTAACTTACAGGCGAATACAGTGATGTCCTCTCACAGTACCATGGAAAAGTGAAAGTGACCAGAGAGGAGTGATGATTGGTTAACGCGGGGTAACATTTCAGGGTAAGCCAATCAGAGACAGAGTTGGGCGGGTCTTGCCTTATGGGGAAAATACAGACACACACACACACACACACACACACACACACACACACACACACACACACACACACACACACACACACACACACACACACAGGCAGATGCAAGTATCAGCGAGAGCAGCAGCGCATTTACAACTTGGAGATATAACCACTATTTTCAATTTGTGGGGATAAAGGACGCAAAAAATATTACGGTCAAATGTAAACTGTGTGCAGGACAGAAAGCATTGTCCACTTGATTGTTGAGGCTACAATAAAGATGCCTGTCAAAATGTCTAAACATATCTTTTGTGTTTTATTGTTCCACTACATTTCATAATGATAATTGCTACAATGATGGGGAGTTGTCTTTTCTCTTACTGTGCCACAGAACAACACAAAAACTTGTATTTGTATTGTTATTATTTTTAAAGTAAAGTAATTTGTTACTAGTTACTTGTATAATTTAGTAACTAATAAAGTAACTAGTTACTTTTTTGAGAGCAGTAACTATAACTATTACTAGTTACTTTTTAAAAGTAACTTTCCCAACACTGCAAGTGACTGAGAGTTCTTCAGGATACAAGTGACCTCTTCTTCATTTCCTTCATTCCCCCCCTCTCCCCTTGCAGGCGGTAGTGGCTGGTATCCAGCAGGCCCATGCAGAGCAGCTGGCCAACATGAGAATTCAGGATCTGAACGTCAGCCTGAAGCCTCTTAACTCTGTCAACAACCCAATCCTCAGGAAGCGGAAACTACTAGGGTACCACTGCTTTTACAGTTTTTGTGTATATAAAAACCTTTTTCATCTTGTGCTTTTTGAGAAGGTTCTTCTGATGTTTCTATCTGCAGTCCTCTGGCAAAGTATTACTCTGTGTTTGTCTTCTTTAGTAACTGTTCTCCTAATGAGGTCAAAGATTGGTCTTTAATTGTGCTTTGGTGCAGCCCCAAGCCCAGTGATGGTTTCTTCATCCATGATCCAGAGAACGGAGGGGACGACTCCAACGTAGCGCTGGAAAAATTACGAGACGTCATTGCACAGTGTATACTACCACAAGCTGGTGAGTAACCCATGCTTTGAAATTATAATAAAGTCGACTAACATTGCATCACCAAAAATACTGATACGTCATAAAGTAACACATATTCAAAATAAACATGGCGGACTTCTAATTAAGTTGTATAAGCTATATATATATTATATTCAATAGGGCATAATTGTGATGTTTTTTTTTGTGTGTGTCCAGGAGAGAACGAAGATGAGAAGCTGAACGAGGTGATGTATGACGCCTGGAGGTTCAACAGAGACTGCAAACAGCTGAGAGACGGGCTGCCGGGCCTCAGCTGGGACGGTCAGTACCAAATCATCTGCTCTATATCTGGCAAATAGCATCCTTATTTCCTATTGTTATAATCAATTAAAATGTAAGAACTATAATAAATTACCCTTGGTTTTCATTCATTGTTAATTATCTTGTAATAGCAACATAACTATTGAATATTTGCATTTTCCCTCGTCCATATTTTCTGGCTTTATTTGCTTTATCTGCCTGCCAAAGAATCTGCAAACACAGCTCAGTTTTCCGTATCACAAATAAATAACAGAGAAGTTCCATTGCAGTTCACACTGGAGGTGATTTTGAAGGTCTGGTGGTCAGTTGATTCACTTTTTAGGCCATTTTTCAAACAAAGATGCCAATTAAACCTAATATGCAGACCCTCAAAATTGAGTCTTCTGCTGTTCTTCGTCTTTTGAAGTAATCAATTTAACATTTTATGATTTTGGACTAAACAAAATAATATAAGGTGTCAGCTAAGCTGTAAAATTCTTAAAAAGTATTATTACTTCCCTTGTCCTTAACCGCAAGCTTTTTTTCATTGCAGGACGATCCTTCTCCGATAAAGTCGACCGCTTGAAATTGGCTGAAATAGTGAAGCAGGCCATCGAAGAGAAGACAAATCTTGAAGAATCTCATTAGCAACCGCTGTCTTTCTATCTTCTTTTTATATTGTTTATTATATCTCTTTTTAACCCATATCTGTAAAGAGGCTTTTTTATGTAAAATGATGTGCTAACTTTTGTTTTCTCTTGAATTCACTTGCAAGACCTATTGTACAGCTGTAGATATATTTCAAAGAGGACTCATTGGTACTACAATTTTTTTTTTTTAAAGAACACTTGCGAAGAACATTGAAAAAAAACAACAACTATATTTTCATTTTTGCAAAAAAAGAAAAAATCAGTTGAAGAAATTATTTTCTGGGAGGGAATTTGTATTCGCTGCTTTCCAAGGAGTCGCCTGTTTTAGCCCAGATATTTCATTTTATTCCGTTTTCTTACGTTTTAATCATTTTAAGAGTTGTATTTATTCAAGCACAGATTTCCTTATTTTATACCTAAACTGTAGCCTGGCAGCGGGCTCAAAGTCAAGAGAAGCTGTCGACGCTGTGACTCTGTTCTTCCAAACACTCTTGATTCAGTGTGCATTTAAATTATATAAATCTTTGTTTTTGTGTAACTTTTCCTTAACTTTTTGTTGTGTAGAGATCAAGGTAAGCTGCAAATAGAGGTAAAGGAAAGTGTCTAGAAATATACAAATGCAGCCCCAAATGAGTTTTGTCACAACCCCTTTTTTTGAAGCCAGTAAGATATGGCACCAAAAGATAGACTGCAAAGCAGGAACCCTGTGGCTCATTTGGTTTAATGAGTTTTGACCAAAAAAAGTCCTCCTACTAGCTTTTAACTGTCTCATCGCCTTCTTTAAAAGATGCAATTTTAAGTTCCAGTTAATTTAAGAATTTGTTGTCAAACTGAACTCAAGAAATGAACTTTTATAGGCTCAACTAAATCCATGTAGGTTTTACAAGCTGCGTTAAACTCACACACAGGAAGTGATCATACTGATTGTCAGCGTCTGAAGTTTGTATCTGGCAAGTAAAATGAAGTGAATTGTTTTATATAAAGGTTTTTCTTAAAGGTCTTCCCATTTCTGATGTGACTCTAAAGGTCTTGGGTTCAGTCTGCAGTTAAAGTTGTGAAAACTGACCTGAACTGCTTTGACGTAAAGTTGTTTCTACTGCAATTCATACCGGAGTCAACTAATATTTAAGTACCTTTTTTAAAGCAAGAGTGTTTGCTACTTGAGTCAGCAGAAACACCGAGCGTCTGTGGTTCAATGTAGGCCATGAATTTATACAAGAAAAGATCATTAGAAGGGTTTCAGCAGCCAGTCCGTCTCAGTCTCATTACACTTGCAATAGGGCAATAATTATGATCATGAATTCATAGTGCTTGTATATGGTACTGAAATATGATGTATCAACTTGTCAGTATTCTATCTGAATGGCAGCAAATGCTCCCTGCCTTCACTCATCCCGATCCGTTAGCTTTAAGTATTTGTCATGAATTAGCGACATTGTTCTGCTCTCGTCATATCTTATATTATTTCTTCAAAAAGGGGTTGTAAGAAGGGATTCCTGTTTAGGTGTTTTCAACAGAACAAGCCTCAGTTAGCTGGAGGTTCTCTTGATCAGTGCCTGATTATATCTTCTATATCGTTTTCTGTTTTGAAAATATTCTTAAGTGTATGAAATCCCCTTTTGCTAAGGTCTTATCTTCATACGGATGATATTTTCATGTCAAGAATAATGCATTAGTCTTTTCTTCATCTAAACGAAAAGTCTATCGTGCATTATTACCAAACATCACTGCAATAGGTTGTTGCTGTCCTGTGAAAACAAGTTTTATTTAGATTACCTAAAGGATAAGGTGTTTCTTTTTAAGTGGAGAAAATGATCCTTCTTCAGACACTAAATAAACCATTTAAAAACACATTGGATTATCTGTAAAATATAGTCTCATAACAAAAGGAGTTGTATTTACTTATAGGAGACAGCACAGTGATATTTAAACTGATCTTTTTCACACCATTTGCAACCAACATGCAGTTTAAAGATGATCTTTCTTATTCCAGTTTGTGTTTAGCAAGAGCAATCATTACGTACATGATTCTGAGAGATTAGTTTGACTCATGGTTTCTTATACAGTCTGATGATATCCACGGCAAGTGTCTGAAAAGGACTTGGTTATAATTGCAACATTTCACTCAAGTGTGCCTTGTTGATCTGGCGACATACTCCCCCTTTTACTGCTCTTATCAATACAGTGAATTACAGGGTGAAGTGGAGACTCAGTGTAAATAGTGATTGGTGTTTGTCCTTTTGGATGTGATTTGCTTTTTTTCCTGTTCAGAAATGACGGTTTTCATGACACAAATTTGTTTTTTGGTTGCACCTCTAACAAATTAAAGAGATAGTTCAACATTTTTGGAAATAGGCTTATGCACTTTCTTGCTGTGAAATTACATGAAGACTGGAAACGGAGAAACTATGGCCTGTAATTCATCCTTTTACCTTTTTACTACCTAATGTGATTAAATGACTCCCAGCCAAAAAATGGTCCGGATACAAACACATAACCTTCTTTAAAAAAAGTTTAAACTTTGTTTTTTTGTACGTGCAATAGAAGTGCACGTGTCTTATAATTAACAGAAAGTGATATTTGAGTGTTATCAACCTCATACCGCCACAAAGCAAATTAAGCGTATTCCACAAAATGGCCATTTCTGCTTTAATTCATCAGCAGTTTTTGTTTGTTGGATCATACAGACATATGTCTTTCAGTGTTTCACTAAAAGTGGAACTTAATGCTTTTTTTGTTTTTAATTTATCTGTTTTATCTGTATGTCATTCATGTGTGTGTGTGTGTGTCTGGTTCAGTATGCTAAGCCTAATCTGTATTACTGGAGGCCTATAAATGAATCAGAGCTGCTACCTCCCGGCCACAAATAACAGACTTTATATCCTCTGCTACCTGAAAGAGCATTGTTGTTGAAGGGTAGTGTATTTATTTTGTACTGTAAAGTCAAGGCATGTATCTTGATATTTGATACTAACAATTAAAACCCCAAGGGGAATAACACAGTCCAGCTCAGACACCATGCTGTTTGCTGCTGTCCCTGAGGGCAGCTGGTTTTAAAGATGGTACCTCCCTCTCACCCTTATACTGGGCGGAGCTGATGCCCTCAGACATGCATTCAGGCTTACTGCGCTTTAGACATATTTCAAAAATAGGATTTTATATAAGGACAGATTTCTTGTTCCCTCGATGGATGCTGACTGACGATGAATATCTGTACTTTTTTGATATATCATTAGAAATGACCTGAAAGGCAGAAATAGTGTAGGGGCATTTCCTTTTCTTGATAAATACCATGTTGCTTCCATTTTTATACAGTTTTGAGCCATCCCTGGGATAAGTGAGGAAGAAATGTTGAGGAAAGGAAATAGTTTCAAGCGTCGGAGGCTTTATCTGCTTTTGTTTGTTTTCCCCTGGACTGGCAGTGATGTAGCGTACCTGAATCTCTCATGAAGACTTGCTGTATTTCTGTCTTCACATCAACATTCTGTCTTTTCTGTCTTTTTTTGGAACATCAACATGCTGACTTTGTAATAAAGGAACTCTTTGAAAAAAATGTATATTGTTTACATTTCTACACAGAGTATGGTATTACTTTAAACGTAAAGGATTTGTTTGCACACTTACAGTTAGTAATGACAGGAATTTGGCTTGATGTGAGAAGCTTAAAGTATTAAGTTATAATCTCCAGTATAGCTTCTGTACATCTAAATCCTGATTCAGCATTTACACTTATTAAGATTCTTATGACGGACAACTTCTGCTTTTTTTTTTTATTGTAGATTGAAAACAGAGTAGATAGAAATCTAGAACAAAATCATCTTAAGAAATTCATAACCTCATAGGACAAAGGCGTGTTCACATTGATACAGACCAGACCCACTTTTTATGGTACACATATTTAAGGCACTTTAATATATAACATTTGTTGGAAAGCAGCAAAAAAAACAGAAATGTGCTCCCAGAATGAAAATCACCCCATCAAAAGATTGAAAAAGTTTTTAAAGTCTGTTTTACACAAGGCAAATGATAGTAATTACACCGACCTGATCTTAAATAGCAGTGGTAACACAGAGAAAAATACATACATTAGAGACAGTAACGGGGGAGTTTCATGATATTTTGAAGGAGAAGGAGGAAGATTGCTGCCATTTTAGACAGTTTATAGAAACATTTCCCCTATTGAGCCTGTTGCACATTGCTGACATCTTAATTGGAAAAAGCAGATAACACAAGAAATGTATCATCAGGTCAGCATGTCACATTTAAAGGAAAATATTAAGGTTAAATTAAAATGTTGCATTGCCTCCCAGATGTACATAGAGATGTTAATTGTGAGTAGTTGTGATAGAGCTCGAGCTGAAAGAGATAACATGTTTCTGTGATTTTGTGGTTAGCTGTAATTTAAACGGAGCATTAGAAACCAGATCAATCCTTTAATCTGCACAGGCACTTTAATGCCAGTGGGTTAAACACAATCTGTATGTTTGGAATGTGTGTCTTAGAGTTGCGGTCCCTATACCCCTGCACTACAACATATATTCTCCCATCAGTCCAGTGGACAAACCCCCCACAGGTGGAAAACTGTAAAGGTATCAATGTTTGGAAATTCACACTGATGGATGCAAAATGGGCGAGAACTGAGGTGTTAGCACAAAATAATAGAACTAAAATGGAGTTAGAGACAGAGCAGCAAATCCATTTTAGGTCTGTTATAAAACTATTTGAGCTCCATGCCCGTAACCCAGTGGAAGACAGTGATGATGTTGAGCAGCACCGGCTCAGTCCGAGTCCTCGTCGTCCAAATACTCTTCAGCGTTGCTGTGTGTGCGGGCGAGGTCTGAAACAAGAGAACCATTTAAATATTTTAGTGCTGTTAAACTTCTGCACCTTCAAGTATTACACAGCAAATGTCTCTTGGATCTTTTGCAAATTGTGTTTCTTAGGGCTGTCAGCATAGATTATCACTACACGATTATCATGGCAAAAATGATTCACGATAATGATATTATTGCAATATGTATAGAACATTTGAATAAAAATAATAAAGTCATACACGGCAAAATTAAGTGTTGCTCTACGTCAGGGGTTCCCAACCCCCGGTCCGCGGAGGTGTTACTGTCGGGCCGCGAAATAGCTGTGAGTTTATCGTAATATTTGCAGAATTATAAATATATAAAAATATTTTATCATAATATTTTTTTCAAAAAGTGTTTAATGTTCGCACCTATACCAGTCATATTATTTCATCCAGTAGCCTAGTTAATCTTTCACCAGATAACCGTTGAAAATGGCTTTTATGATGTTCCGAGGGATTCGGCGGCTCAGCCTGGTCTCAGCCTCTTGTGCGCACGAGAAAGTTACCAGTGCGCCAAGTAGGAAGAGGAGCGCACAGGAGACAACCGTTTCATTGCAGACTGTTATGTTTATGTGGGGAAATGGCAGTGCATACATTATTTGAGATATATTTCAAACTCGGACTTCATTTTAAGGACATGTCGGCCAGGGGTGTAGAGCTATTTATTTGATTAGCTTTTCTTTTTAATGACTGATTTTAAATGCCATTTTCTTAATGTCTTTCATTTTTTTGTAAAGCACTTTGAATTGCCTTGTGTTGAAAAGTGCGATATAAATAAACTTGCCTTGCCTTTGTTTAAGCACCGGATTGGCAAAACAGGAGAGTAAACCAGTCTGCCTTGATCTAGGAATTCATGACTCTCACGGTATCTGCTGCCCGCAGCTGTTTTATAGAAGGAAAACCTCCTTCACTTCATGAAATGGCTGGCAGCATCAGGAGGCAGCGGGACATGTAACTCCGCTTCTGAGAAGTGCAGCACCAGCGCGCCGAGAGCTGTGCCTTTTTACGCACCGCCTTCGCTGTGTTTACCTTCATCAGAACAGCGAGTGACTGCAGGCTGATACGTGTTAACCACACACACCTCTACACACATCTCTACACACATCGAACTGCCCGATGACTCCCCCTTTTATTAGTTTTATGAAGGAGATGTCTAGTCACCAAGGCGCATGATGTGTGTGTGCAGCTCTGCTCAGCTCAGCTCTGTGTTTGTCCGACACCGGCATTTGTTTTCAAATGACCATGAACAGTAATTTACACACATCTGGCTAACTCCATAGGTAGCCTATATGCGGGTGTTCCCAAAATAAATTAGTTTAATCTTAATCTCGATGTAGTGCTAAATGCTGTCGGACGTGCACCGGAACGAACGTTACTATCATAATATCTTCTGAAAACAAATGCCAGTCACACACGTCGCCTGTGGGCCACTAGGCCCAGGCAGCTGTGAAACATCTCTGTAAACAAATTAAAATGTAGGACAATAATTACAACTAATTTCATTGAAATAAAGTTCAAGTAAAATGTTGAATCAAGCACAAATAACAATGCACACATAAAAAGAAAGTTTGGGAGGTCACACACACACACACACACACACACACACACACACACACACACACACACACCACACACACACACACACCACACACACACACACACACACACACACACACACACACACACACACACACAAACACACACACACACACACACACACACACACACACCACACACACACACACACACACACACACACACACACACACACACACACACACACACACACACACACACCACACACACACACACACACACACACACACACACACACACACACCTCGTTTTCCCATCACTGGATTATCCGTAAATCATACAAACAAAACCAAAACGTTGATTTATCGGTTTTCCCGTTTTGTTTTAAAAACTGAATAACGTTGGTTTTCAGTTTTTCCGAAAAACCAGAAAACGACACCGGTTCTTTTTTAAACGTTGTTAATATGTTTTGGATGCATATTGTTCTATTATTTGTTCATACAATTAGCCTCTGTTGCTACCTGCTGGTGAGTAAATATTAAAATCAGTTAAAATGGACAACCGGTCCGCGATTTTTTTTTAATGTATCTGCCGGTCCTTGGCACAATAAAGGTTGGGAACCCCTGCTCTACGTCACAAAAATATAATTTCGCTCAAACTCAACAGCAAAGTCTCTTTCCAGGAAACCTGAACCGTTTAATGCATATTATCAACAGACTTTGTTCATAGCAGTTTCAAGTAGGAACTATTTCCTTTCAAACAAACTGCATGAAATAAAGTGTGTACTATTACAGCTCTACAGTGAAGAGGGAAATGGTACAATTGAAGCTTAATGAATACCAAAACCTCCCAAATCCATTTCAGACCAGTTACTGCTCATGTCTTAAACAGTATATTAACTGACTGCTGATCTTTATGATTGTCTGAGCTTGTTTCTGATGGATCGGTTTCCACGGTTACCCCCAGTTCAGTGAATAATCATATCATTTTCTAGGGTTTTCTCCTGTGAGTGTGAGTGGCCTGTCCTGATTATACTGCATGTGTGAGGGCGCCTCCTGGTGGTACTTACTGCTTCCCTGCTTCCTTTTGAGAAGTGAAGCACACATTGCGTTGGTGGCCATTTCCAGAGCGAGTTTATTCTCATTGTTCCTGATATCTGTTCTCGGATCTGAAACAAACATACTCACACTGAATAAAATACTTGAAACTGCAATCAGAAAGACACATAAATCTGTCTGTGTACACACACACACACACACAGCTGTTTTTATTTCCTGATTAATGACTTAATCTCCTATTATAGTTTGATTAAAAACCCTTATGGAGCTTTATCTCTGCTTTCCCTGCTTCAATATCCAATCAAATAAAGAAGATTACAGCAAGCCAGATGCTTTTAAATAAAACAAAATATGAGACCCGTCCAGGTAAAAAAAAGGCCAGATACTCACCCTTGTTTAGCAACATTTCCACAATGTCAGAATAACCCTTCCAGGCTGCAGCGTGCAGAGGCGTGTCCCCGAGTTTATTCTGAAATACAAAGCACTCACATCACCGGAAAATACATTGGCTGGGAAATCAAGTCAACAGCATATCATGTTTTTGACCCCTTAGTACATTTATTTGTATGCCTATGTTACCTGCTGGTTGAGCTCAATGTTGGGCTGGCTTAGCAACACCTCCACTACATCTGATAGGAAAAGCAGAAAAATAACTGAGTGTCGGACTGAGGATGAACTGGTTAATGAAATGCATGCTTAACAATCATACTGGAACAATGGAGCAACACAAATAAACTGGAACACTTTCATAGACCTAGTTCCTGTTTTTCTTGACAGAAGTGTGTCATAATAAAACATTTATGAAATCACATTCAGGCACTGCCTAATCAGATTACTGTACACAATATGAATACGCAGTGTTCATTAGAGGAAGGTTTTTTATTTCTGACAATGCAAAGTCTGTATCATAAAGAAAATCTCAACATATTTTAATCACCAAGTCTTTTACCTTTATGCCCTCCATGGCATGCCCAGTAGAGGGCAGTGTTTCCAGCTTTGTCCAGCCCGTTGATTCCAACCTTGTTCTCCACACATTCCCTCAGCCAGCTCAGATTGCCTGTTTAAACACAAATATGTGCATAAAAACAAAGTACAGTCAGGGTT